TTGATTGACCCTTCAGACATTCCAACACTTGGAACCAAAATACCAAATCTTACTGGAAAGAGGTGTGGAAACACACTGGATGTGATCTGATGCAACTTGCTGTAATAGTTCATACCAGATGTTCCACATTCCAGGTTGTCCCTCAGGAAGTAATCCAGAACCATGAATGTGAATGTGGTGCTTGGCTTCTCGAACGTTGAGGGAAATAGTTTGGCTCTGAGTAACTGTATACATCGGGTTTCTGCAGTCTCACATTCACACCAATTCACTACAATGAAATGAACACCTGTGACATCCATGATGGTGAGATATCTTGACCCTGCTGGAGGACAGAGGTGCTTTGGGTTTTCTTTGATATCTTCTACATCTTCCCATTCTTGATCATCCATGGGCAGAGGTTCACCTGCTGCTTGCTGGGCTTGTGTGATCACATGGGGACAGGGTGCTCCACCATGGACAGCAGCCAAAGCAACAAGGACTGGCAAGGTTGACTCTGTGAAATTGGTGAAAAATGCCAATGGAGAGATTTGGATAGGAGAAATTGCAGGCCTTAGCTGGGGCCAACTACAAAAAATGGTTTGTGGATTTGTGACTGCTCACTACTGTGAGTGGCCAGAGTATTTAGTGTCCTCAATCTCTGATGAGTGCTATCAGGATTAGCATGTGGAAATCCCTCATCAGCAGTGCCATTCAAGAATTTTGGTCATCATCAAGCAGAAATTATAGCAGCCCACCATCTTCCTGAAGGATTTACCTTTGACCATGACCCAAGTCACATGTGGATGACAACAGCTACCCAGCTGCTGTCCTTTTGGCACAAGTGACAGGAATCCCATCCAAATGATGTGTTTGGATTTCAGAAATGGATTGATCGATCTGGTGAGCTGCAGCCACTGGTGGATAGAACTTTGGCACCCCTCCAGGTTGTGAGGCAGTGGAAATACCAAAAGACACCTGCCCCCAAATGCAAAAAGAATCCCAGAAGGAAAAATGTCAAGGGCAAGGGTAAAGCACAGGGAGAGGGAGTGGTGGATGATAGCACAGATGATAGCATGGATGACAGCATGGATGACAGTTTGGATGATCACAGTGAGGCTGAGGCAAGCAATGTTGGAACAGATGGTCCCTCTGCTAAAAAGGTGTGCCATGTGTGATTTTCATGCATGACAGATCAGCACTAATGCGATTCTGGTCTTCAGGTATCTGGCAGGAGGCAAAACCATGCCAAGACACCATTCCCTTCTTGTTCCTGCTCAAATCCCCCAACAGCTGATGGTTCCCATAGCAAGCAGCTCTCTGCACCTCCAGCCCATGCAAAGACCCCAGTGCATCATCCACAAAATAAAGTGCTAACTGACTATAATGGGTGGGAAAGCAACAGCCATGATTCTGATGATGAAGCTGATGAAGGCACTTATTTGCCCACCCTATCCAATTCAAAGAAAATGGAAACATCCCTGAATAGTGAGCTTCCTGCTGTAACTTGTATTCACAGCAAACCCTGATCTGCACTCAGGGAACAAGTACACAACTGAACTACAGGACCACTCAGAATATGCAGATGAAGATGGATTGGAGAGCATTCCTTTCACTGACCACCCAACTGAGGAGGGGTCAATGAGCAGAAAAAAAGGTGGAAAGCTGAAATCTGCCCTGAAGCACACACACCAGGCAAGTTCAGTCATGTTGAATCAGCTGTTATGGCTAACAAGTTTGCACTGTATATTAAGCAGGCTCTGTCAGAATCTAGTGAGCCAGACATGAATCGATGTCAACCTGGGGCCAAATACTCATCCAAGTCCAACCATAATGGATCTGTGACCACCAATGCAGCATCCATGAATGTGAAACAGGGGGTCCCTGGGAGCACCTGGAAGTCACCTTGTGTCAGAAAGGCCCCTGCATGGCCAGATGCAGATGTTCCATCTCCTGATGCAAAGAGATCATGCAAGCAAACAGGCAGCAATCAGAAGCAGAAGTAGTTGTCAAATCCCTCAAACAGTCAGAGTGGAAACCTTTTTTGGAACTTGTGTATAGTCTATAGAGGGCTTAGCCTAGTGTGACACATTAGAATAGAAGTGTATGGCATGTATGGTAGCTCATGACACCATGGTGGTTGTGAGAGGCATCTTTGATATCAGAGAGAGGGATAGTTAAGCAGGACAGTTGAGCATGACAATTGAGCAGAGAGCTGAGCAGGACAGGTCTACGTATTGGCCATGTGGAAGCGACTGGTAGCTATCTATGTAGGGAGATATTTCTGCTCATCTCCCATGTATTGCTGTTACCCAAAATTTGGCTCCATCCACCATTGTCCAACCTTGCTTCCCATGGTGTGAATGATATTCTCACCATTGTTCCTACAAGTTTAAATCTTGATTGATCATCAACCTATCAGTGAACCCATCATCATCGAATATGTCCACCAAACAGTCCCACCAAGTTTGTTTCCATCATCAAGGTGAGGTTGTCTTCATTGTTGGATCCAGCAACCTAAGCCATCCACAGCTAATGTAAGACCAATTGAGCCAAGGCAATCTAGCTCCCATGTGAAGCAGTCCAAAAATCTGGAGGAGATGCTAGTACAACTGCATGAGTTGCAAGAGCCAACCCCTCCACCAATTGTCTCAAGTGGAAGGGCAGATATGGCAGGGTCAAACATGGATATTGTGGCCAGTGAGTGAACATGATTTCTCTCCAAGCTAAACAACAAACATTCTTTCACTATAGATTCATGCGAAAGCTTGGTGGATCAGTTCCTGCAGGAAAGGGAGCCAACTGCTCTGGCAGAGGGCAGAATCGCAGCTGGTGAGTTGGCACAATTGCCCTTCAAGCTAACAAACAAACTAATTTTCTAGTAATAGATCCACATGACAACTTGATGAATCGGTTCCTGAATGAACAGGAACCAACTGCTCCCCCAGCAGATGGTATGAATGTGGATCTACTCAAGCAATTGTTGAATGCACAGGAACCATCAGCACCACCAGTCACACATGAGAAATTAAACAGGATGGATGGGTCTTCAACACCTGCACAAGATGTTACTATGCAGGTCAATTTTCTGGCAGACTTGCAGAATGTGCAGGAACCATCTCCTCTGCCCATCACCCACAAATCATCAAATCTGAGGGACCAATCTCCTTGACCTGATTCTCTGACCAACCTGCTTGCTCAATTGCAGGATATGAGGGAACCAATGCCTCCCCCACTTGTTTCAAATGTACCCATCGAATCTTTTGACTTGGCAGTGGATGAGGACAATGGTGCAAACTGTTTGACTTTTGGCATGCCCTGAATGATCAGAGATGAGGGATCTTTTCATGGAAATATGCAACAGTGAGCATTTATTTGGTTCTATTCATGTGATCAGTGATATCCATCGATTATGTAGGTGAACTTCCATCCACCCAGCAATCTCTTCAAATGGAACAATGGGGATTGGCACCTGTTCCATGATGTGATCAAGGTATGGGCATGAGCTTAATCTGATACACCTTTGACATTGATAATTTTAGTCCTGCATGCCTTACATGCTGCAGTATCTCACTATTGTGGAAACACCACTCCCAGCAACATGCCATTTGATCCCACCCTCAATAGGTCACCTTGTGCAGGCTGCGAATGCCATTGCAAGAGAATTTGGCACAGCTGCAAGGGACCAGTATGGTACAGCCTCTCAGGGCCTTCGACTCGTCAATATGCTTCAATTTGATGGAAGTCATTCGTTATCTGCATTCTGCCTTTGAAAATTGTCCCAAGCCATTCATTGCCAGCCAATCACACCCATCTCACCAGTCTGTGGTAGAGATGGGTATCCTCTACTTGGCATGCCAGATCAAGGTGGCCTCTGTACATCTGAAGCAGACTGCCTAATATTGCAGGATGGCCCACACATTGGTTTGCAAACCTAGCAATGGACTTGGTAGGTTTTACATCAATTTTTCACAATGTGGGACTGATACATAATTCCTTCAGAATCAGCTTAATAGCTTGATTCTGGTGATGGTGTTGCATGCCAGTTATACTCCTCCCCTCCCAGCATGCTACCATGCATACCTCAGACACCAAGATGATGAGGTTAGCTTCCATGATCAAATGCAGCTAATTCCCCTTAGCACATTTAGCATAATTGACAATACCAGGCACCATCATCCCACATTGGACCCCACAGCACAGCTGATCCTGATTCTGACTTTGCATTCCCTTGGTGGCTATATCATTCCAAGGAATATGCAGTGGATTCCCAAAGATTGCAAGGCAAGGGATTGTTTTCTGCAGCCTGGGATTTTTTTTAAGGTATGCCACTTATTCTCATTGCTGCAAATAGTTGATGATGGCCCAGGGCTTATGGCCATTGCCTGAGGCGCCAATCACAGACTGTCTCAATGGCCATATTGAGGAGCAGGTAAACTACTGCATCAAAAATATTCAGAAATATGCCAATGTTGTCAATGGTCAGGGTCAACAAACTGACCATTTCTACACTAGGTGGTGGGCATTGCATGGGTTGTTGGGCATGCTGCTTCAATAGTTTACATGTTTTTGACTGTGGAGTTGGTTGAATATACATTGCTATAAATGTCAATCATTTATGAGATGCCACCCATTCGCATGATGTCTGAACCCCTGCCCATCTGTGCAATGTCCAACAATCCACCCATCTGCATGATGGCCTGAGTAGGTTTATTTTTTTTGCAGTTTATGATGCAAACCCTTTAGCTCTGAGTACCTGCCCAATCTATGATGTCAAAGCACCCACCCATTTGCAAAATCTTGGCAACACCACCTGTCAAAGTTCAAGAGCCAGCATATCCTAATAAAATATGAGATCCACATTGCCTACTAAATCTTACATTAAATTTTGCAGCTTCAAATCAACAGTTGTCCAGTTGCAACTGGTCTAGGTAGTAGGTCATCCATCCACAGTGATTGACACATGGGAACATGCACCTGACTGATGTACATTGGCATGCATGTAGTATACCAGGCATGCTCTGTCACCAGTCTACAGCTCCCACCCCATGCTCCAGTGCTGAACCTGAAAATGCAATGATCATCCCTGGGTTGTAGCACAGCTGCAGATTCAACATTGGAATGACAAAGTCCAAGGGTGGGTAGTTGCCCACAGTTACCAGCATGTCATACAATGGATGCCTGTCCATTGATATCCCTGTGGTAACAAGTTGCCTGATTCACCATCACAGACATGCTGCTATATGTGGAGCTCCATATTGGCAGTATGGAGCTCATATCCAAATCTGCCCACTGTTCTGCCTGTTTGCCAAGGCAGATCAATGCTTCCCTGCCATCTGCATACATTTGTGGATGGATGACATGCAGGATTGCAGATAACAGGGCATTGGTGTCAGTCATTTGGTTGACCCATTCCCTTGTAGAAGTGTTTTCCGTCCTGGATTTGAGCAGCCATGAGGCTTCTGGGAAGCCATTTTGGGGTTTCAAGACAGATGAGTGCTTTATTCACAAGGAAAGAAATGATCACCCACCCCATGACCCTGTTGAAACCATGCAGGTGACAGGTTGATGGCGCCTTTCAACTCAGCATTATCATGGAAATATGACTTGTCCATCTGCCATGCCTGTGGGGAAGCCTTTATGCTCTCCCACAGTGGTTCCCTCAGAAGATGAAGGCAGTTCCATACATTGGCCTGCCATTGCATTAAGTCAGTAGAATATGAGATTCTGCATTCCCTTACCCTTCTTTTTGGGCTGAGAGTGTCCAGCAAATACCAAATGTGGATGGTGTTTGAGTTGGTCACCAGAATGGACAGCTCAGTCACTTCCATGTATCTCTCAGCAGCTTCTCCATTGCAGGTTGTTCCACCCCAATTTTTCCTGACATTGACTGCAGAAAGATGAAAACTTCCATTGCACCATTATGATGGACTTACTTGGGTAATGATAGGCCTGTGAGATTACTGATGATATGTGATCCACTTCACATAACACTGGAAACAGAATCAATATATCTGGAAGGGCATGAGGTCCGCTGAATACCTCTTCTTGAAATCTGGCTTTCATGTATGATGCAATGCAGTCTGTTAGTTCCATTCGCCATGCATGGGGGGTTTTAGACATGTCTTGCATAGTATTCATGCTTGGGGTGGATGAGGTTGGAGTTGTATAGTGGGCGAGCTGCTTGCAGCTTGTTGGAAAATTATGGCATGTTGGGATGCTTGCCTCAATATTTTGCTGTGATCCAATCAATATGTTGTGATGCTATACATGCCATTGGTGTTGGGCCCATCTTATGTTGCAACAGGGGTGGATCTTACTAGACAGACCCATCCTTGTTTTATGGCAATATAAAAGATATTACTGAAGGGCCCATCCATACATTATGACCATATAAATAATACTGCTGAAGGGCCTGTCCTTATATTGTGACTGCATAAATGATACTGCTGAAGGGCCCTTCCATATGTTGTGACACCATAAATGATATTACTGATGGGCCCATCTTTATGTTGTGACAGGGGTGCATCTTACTAGACAGGCCCATCTATGTGCTGTGACACTGTAAATGATATTACTGATGGGCCCATCTTTATGTTACAATAGGCATACATGTTGCTATTGATGGGCCCATCCATGTGTTGTGACTGTGTAATTGATATTACTGATGGGCCCATCTCATGTTGTGACAGGGGCATATCTTACTAGACAGGCCCTTCCATATGTTGTGATGCTATAAATGATATTACTGATGGGCCCATCTTTATGTTGTGACAGGGGTGCATCTTACTAGACAGGCCTGTCTATGAGTTGTGACACTGTAAATGATATTACTGATGGGCCTGTCTTTATGTTGTGACAGGCATACATGTTGCTATTGACAGGCCTGTCCATGTATTGTGACTCTGTGATTGATATTATTGACAGGCCTGTCTATGTGTTGTGACACTGTAAATGATATTACTGATGGGCCCATCTTTATGTTGTGGCAGGGATGCATCTTACTAGATGGGCCTGTCTATGTGTTGTGACACTGTCAATGATATTACTGATGGGCCTGTCCTTATGTTGTGACAGGCATACATCTTGCTATGGACAGGCCTGTCTAGATGTTGTGACACCATAAATGATATTACTCCCAGGCCTGTCCATATGTTGCCAACTCTGTAATCTATCATAGATGGGCCCCTCTTTATGTTGTGACCCTATAAAGCATATGATGGGCAGGCCTGTCCATATGTTGCAACCTTCTTCATGATACAATAGGCGGGCCCATCCATGTCTTTCAGTAGCTTAGCATACTTACTTGGTCACAGGCCCATCTATATGTTGCAGCATCCTTACCCTCCACAGGCCCTTCCATATGTTGTGGAATTGCATTTACGGGCCTGTATGTATGTTGCTCTCATTATAGGCCCTCAGGCCTGTCCATGTGTCATGGCTAATCTATTTAGATGGACCCATTGTGGGGTCTATAGAAGTGTTGGCATTTTGGCATGCAGGCTACCTATATGTTGTGACTAAATGGACTACATGGGGTCCTTGTGAAGCAACTAACCACATTGAGTGGAACTGTCTGAAGCACTGGCAGACCCACACTAAGCCTTATAGCAATAGGAAAATAACAGTAAACTCTGTGGGACTTTCAGCAGCAGAAGTATGACTGGCTGCTCTACAGCAAGGGACTGACTTGGGCCTGTTTGCCACATCTATAGTGTGTTCTGAGACACCTGAGCTCTGACAAGCTAAAAGGGACTTGGTAAAAGCACAAGCCATTGCAACCCTATATGATGCTGTTCCCCTCATACTAGACCAGACAGACATCCCCAGCAACTCACCCTTCCAGCCAGGCCACTTTGAAATATCAGAGCATGGAGGACCAGAAACATACCTCCTTATTGACTGGTACACTAATGAAGACCACCTACTGTATTATTCAGACCTCATAGATCCTGATTTCAACATCATGCATTGGCTTCACCTGAAGAAGTCTGAGCAATATGATGAGCTCCTCTTCAAGCAGTGGAACCTGTGCATTTCGAGCTTCACAGACTCAAAAGCTAGGGCATCTACACCATGTAATGGCAACAGCTACTGCTTGGATAACTGTACTGGAACAGTGAATACATTAGCATGTGCTGCAACCAATCTCCCTGGCATGAAACAGAAACATAAGTCTAGTGACACAGTGACTGAGCAGAATTCTGCACAAGTCAAGGGCAGACTGTGGGTCTTGCCAAAACTCATTATTGTGGTAGTGAAGATCAATGACCAGCCATGCTGAGCCCTGTTAGACTCAGGCTTGCTCTCAGACTTCATATCTACTACATTGGTGAACCAATTACAGCTACCACTTGATATTCTTGACTGGCCACTCAACCTACAGCTAGCAGTCTCTGGTGTTGGAGATATATTCTCCCCTGTGTTCTGCTCACTTTGGTGCGATGTTTGAGTGCTTACATAATCACCTTAGAGCGCACATTTTACAGTAGTTTATTCACTGTTCCCTCAGTAGCTTGTTGCACTACTGAGGGTAAGCTCACTTTCACTACCAGTATTATACTTACTGATGTCCTGTAGATACCTACAGGTTGGTCTAATACATGAGTAGCTTTTTGCACTACTGATGATACCTACAGCATCCTTCAAAATCTGGGTCCCATAGTAAAGTAAAGGCTATGACCTCACCCAGCATCTCTTATCAGAATATCAATGAGAAGTGCATTCTAGACATAGAAAACCTGGATTCATATGACCTAATATTGGGAATGCCACTTTAATCCATCCCAAGTAACTGTTTGGAGTGATGTCTTGCTACCTATCCATAGTGTGCAGACAATCACCCTTGAGTCCTGTGCTACTGAACTTCAAAATGACATGATTGAGAAATATTGGGATGAGCTGCATGAATATGCAAAGGAAATATGCAAGGAAGCCATTGAGACACCTTTGCCACCCCTCTGGGCAATAAATCACATAATACCACTGATTGACAAACATAAAGTCTACTCATGGCAGCCATCTCACTGCCCTGAGGCAATGAAACCTCTCTGGCATATGAAGCATGATGATTACCTATGGACTGGGCATTGGGAATTTCATAGTGGTACTAATTCTGTCCCTATGATAATGCTAAAGAAACCTATGAAGGATGGAACCTTACAATTGCAGACAGTACTGGACACTCATGAATGCAATGCCAACACAAGAAAATTAGCATCCCCATTGCCAGACATTGAGGCAATCCTGTGCAATGTGGTCTCACAGGTCATGCAGATTGGAGATTGCAATGCTGGCACTACATACCAATCCTTAATGAACCACATTTTTGCACCATACATAGGGAACCTTATGGATGTCTACCTTGATGATATTGTAGTCTACTCCCACTCGCCTGAAGAACATGTCTGCCATGTAAAAATGGTTATTGACACTCTATGCAAGCACAAATTTTATTTGAGCGAACATAAGTCACAATTTTTCAAAGACAAACTATGTATCCTCAGACATGTGATTGACAAAGACGGAATCCATATGGATCCAGACAAGGTGGATAAAGTAATAAATTGGAAGACCCCTATGAACAAAGAGTTACTCGCAGGTTTTATAGGTGCAGTCAGATATCTTGCACCAGGTTGTGAGGGCATCCGAATCCCACTCGGGCATTTGCATAAACTCGCATCCCCCAGCACACCATGGCATTGGTCCTTTACCGAGCAGCGCGCATTTGATCTAGTGAAAAACTTAGTACACAAATACCGTGAAGTGTGCCGGAAGGCATTAGACTACTCACCCGGACACCAGCCAATCAATCTGTCTTGCGATGCCAGCATGTCAGGTGGAAGCAGTGTCCTCTGGCAAGGCACAGACCTAGAGAACGCGAACATTATCACCTTCTGGTCTGGGAAATTCAACCCTGCACAGCAAAATTACCCAGTGCACGAGCAGGAGCTACTTGCTATTATAGAATCCCTCCACTGCTTCCAACACCTACTTCAAGGGACAGAGTTCCGCATTTTTACAGACCATAAAGGTCTGGAATGGATTCAGACTCAGCGGAAGCTGTCCCCACGTCAGGCGAGATGGTTAGAAACCCTTGCAGACTTTGACTTCGAAATAATGCACATACCTGGAAAGGCTAATGTCTTGGCTGACGCATTAAGCCGTATTTACTCTAACGAGCCCAAAGGCACAGTGCATGCCTCGAGTGAGTATGTGTGTGCCGAGGAGGAGAATGTACCATCGGACTTACTCTTGAATCTTGTCACTGCACTGGTGTACACCGGTGATCAGATTTTCCTTGGTGCAGCCACTCGCTCCGGGGACAGTGCAAGAGCAGCTTTCCCAAATGCACGTCGAGTGATCTTGAAGCTGCCTGAACCACCATCATGATCACTGGAGGGCAGGAGCCCAGCAGCAGTGCATGGGCCCATATCACCCATTGCACAGGACAATGACATGACACAAACCGAGGGCAGCGATGACAGCTGTCATATGAACAACAACCCACTGCCAGTGTCAGAATTACTGCTTGACAATCCAGTGACATTGACAGACTTAGTCTCACTCACTGAACCAAGTCTTGATGTACACGAGTGCATCCGTGACTGGTATGGCAAAGACAAATTCTTCTCTGAGATACTACGGAACCCTAAGAATTACAAGAACTTTGAAGTGAGCAATGGGCTAGTATACTTGTGAGACAACGGCCGCAGAATGCTCTGCATTCCGGACATCCAGATCGGCAACAGATGCCTACGAGAGATGTTAATATCACATGCACATTCGATACTCGCTCACCTCGGACCCGCTAAAACAATCACATACCTGAGAGACAATGTTTGGTGGAAGAATATTAATGCCGACATCGATGCCTACTGCAAATCCTGTGTAACCTGCAAAACGTCAAAGCCTAACAACCATGCTAACTATGGCTTACTCGAAACATTAGATGTACCTAATTGCCCAAGGGAGACAATTGGGATTGACTTTGTAGGACCGCTCCCAGACTCTAAGACGCTCAATGGATCGTTTGATATGATATTAGTTGTCGTAGACCACTTAACATCAATGATCCACTTAATACCAACTAAACAAACCTATCGCACTAAAGACATCGTGGAAGTCATGTTCGATCGTGTGTACAAACACCACGGAATGCCACAGAACATAGTCAGTGACCGTGACTCATTATTCACAAGTATGTTCTGGACTCGCTTGAATGAGCTCACCGGATCAGAGCTCTAACTGTCATCCTCCTACCACCCGCAAACCAATGGTATGACAGAACGAGCTAACCGCACCATCACCCAGATGATCAGGTCATGTATCTCACCTAACCAGCGAGACTGGGCAACTAAACTACCTGCAATCGAGTTTGCTATCAATAGCGCTCGGTCCGAGACCACTGGGTTTGCCCCATTCGCACTCCACTATGGTCATGTACCTAAAACTATGATCTGGGAAACAGATACTAAATACCCAGGTGTTAGGACCTTTGCCAAACGAATGAAAGATGCAATCATGCGTGCCCATGACTCTATCATCACGGCTCGTGTCAAACAAACTCGACTAGCAAACAATAGGAGAAAGGAAACCCCGTTTGTAAAGGGTGACCTGGTATATCTGTCCACTGCCAATCTGACACTTCCTAAGGGTCGTGCTAGGAAACTCGCCCCTAAATTTATTGGCCCCTTCCGCATACTAGAGGACTACCGCAACAACACCTTCTTGTTGGATATTCCCGCGGAACTCAAACAACGCGGAGTGCACCCAGCATTTCACACGAGCTTACTGCGTATCCACGTGCCAAACGATGACCGACGATTTCCAGGCCGCCAGCTCCCACAGATAGTCAGTCTGGGCAAAGTCGAAGAGCTCACAGTAAAGCACATAAACGACCACCACGGTCAAGGCCCGGACATGTTGTTCGAAGTAGCATACACGAGTGGGGATTCCATCTGGCTACCCTACCCGGAAGTGGAACGACTCAAAGCCCTGACACACTACCTCGAGGCACAGGGTGCCTCATCCATCAATGACCTCCCAAGGCGGGTGAACCATCCCAACAAAGAGTTCACTTTATCTGGCACCTGGTATGATGAGGCCATTCGTTGCACATGCGCGCTTGACCTGATCGATGGCGTAGTAACCGGTGTTGCTTTCACGACGTCAAACCAAGTTATGCCTGCTCACCAGAGCATCTCCTCGGGTTCTAACCTTCGCAAGAAAATATATAAAGGACGGCGAAGGCTCTCAACCACCCAGTACCACGTCCACACCAGAATGCCGCGCCCTGTATTCCGACCACTCGAGCTTGAACAATTTCGGGTCACGGCTGAGGCCATCTGTGCTGGAACTTTTGATCTCACCAGGGACCATCTCCCTGCCGGATATGTCACCTTTTGCGAGACTAATGCTGAACACCTGGACCCGGCTTTTCATTACCCACTACCAGATGGGTTCATTCGCAAGCCCCTTCGTCCTCGGGGACATGGAGCAATCAGTCACCGAGACCGCCGCAACAGAGGGAACTCCCTCTCTGGGATGATCTTCGATCGGTTCAAAGCTGACACCAGAGCTCGTAAGAAAACACCCGAAATGGTATCTAGATCACGAACTAAATGCAGGATAGAAACCAGCGCCACTACAACTGTACGTGCTAACAGTGGGCCACGAAGAAAACACCTGCGGAATGTCCACACTACCCCTCACAAGGGCGACAATACCCGCGACGTGACAATGTGATTCACTCCCTACCAACGACCTGCCGTCTGCCAAGGCTTGACGCAACTTCACCCCACTCCTGCTATTGGCATTCGGCATATCATCCCGGGCATGACAGTTTGCAGAGACGGATGCAGCGAGAGCGCCACCAACCCTGAACGAACTGCTCGACACAATCATCAATGCTGAACCTGTTCCCACAGGTGGTGATGCTAGCACCGGCCTCAGTCCGGTCGTCTCGAGTGTGACCATTTGATCTCCCCAGAAGATCAGGAGGGCAGATGCAACGACCCGCGCTCCCGCGGATATGACAACGGAACCAAGTAGAATATGTCAGCCTTGATACTTCCTCTTTAGTACAGTCCTTTGTGTACGTAGGTATATAAAGACTCATGTAGTAGGTAGGAGGGAGCAGTTTTTATCGAGAGGCCCTTGGCCAGTTCTGACGAACGACGCTTGAGACCTTTCGACGGAAACACTCTTACTAGTGTGACCAAGTCCTGCGACCGTCACACTTTACTCCCAGTCAAAACTTACCAGGATGAGGGCGGCTCTAGTCGGGCGAGATCTGACGGGGTCGATTGGTAAGCAAAATATCCGTTTTGATCAAGTGCGAACTGGAATCAACGCATATATTGCACGGCGAGGCAGGCCAACATTGGGTGACGTAGGATTTTGGTACTCATGATCCGATCCTGACAGATCTCAGCAGATAGTAGCTACCTCTCTGTCTGTAGCATAAATATGATGACAGCGGTGCGCATCTGTCCGGATTGGATTAGGGTTCTCTCGTTCCGGTCTCACCAGATTCACACATATTGGGTCAGAATGCAACAAATTCCATTCCGGTCCCATCGGGTGCAGTCCAATAATACAATTTACACTACGTGCCCATATTATACACGGTACACGCGCCCCAATACCTGCGGGTAATAAAACGGCAGCCAGAACAGAGCAGGAGCGCGAGCGAGCCGTCGAGTTGGCAGTCGAGATACCCGGGATGGAAGGTACAGCGAAACGGAACAACGGAGGAGAGCGGGCGATAAAACGGCAGCCACAGCAGGGCGGCAGCGCGAACGAGGCATCGAGTTGGCAGTCGAGAACTCGCGAATGGCGGGTACAGCGAAACAGTGCGACGGAGGGTGCAGGCGACAATTGAGAGACACCTGCGACAACATTAAGCCAAGCACGAATGAAAGTGAGAAGCACCTGCATCGTCTAAAATATTGTACCGTTGCAGGCAGCTGGGTCGGATGGTTTTGTCCACGTTCCGTCCTTCTGAAGGCGCTCAGCCTCAAGGCGATACTTCTCTCGTGTCTCCGCTGTCAATCCATCCCAGTACATGCGGAATTCTTCGGTCATCCCAGTCGAATTGATATGTTTGTGCCACCTAAGTGCGCAGAGGTTTCTAGAAAATGTATAGTTAGTATTGTAACGAGATAGATACTAGACATACCTCGCATTTTTTGCTGCGCCAGGTCGCATCTTAGTTTTCTTTTCCCCTTTTACTGAGGTGGTCAACGTCGACGACTCCATGTTCATGTTCGTCTTTGACTGAGAAGGTGCAAGTGGCACCTTCTTTGCAACTCCATTCGGACCAAATACATTCATACTGAGTTGAAAACGGTATCAGTTCACAATCTGTGTAATGAAAAACACTTACAGAGGATTCTGGAGTGGGAACTCGTTCTCTTTGTTCGAGTTATGGCGAGACAGGCTGGATGGACCAGCAGCCTTGGACGCCTCACCACGTGTGATGGAATTTGATCGGGACCGCGAATGGCTACGGTGGGGCATTGGTAAATAAACACCATGGGGAATATCGGGGGGACTTCGGCATGATTGGAGCAATAGGCTGTCGTCCATGGGAACGACAGGCGTCATCGCGAGTTCGTCTTGCGGCTGGGAAAAAACGGGATCTGGCTGAGGTTGCGCTGACTCGCTATTATCGTCGACTGTCGCTTCAGTGAAGTTAGCACTGAATAAATACTGCCGTTCACCCCATCTATGCTTGTGTTCACCCTACCTATGTCTGCGTTGCTAGGTTTCAGAATTAGGCTCTGCGTCTCTTCCGCTGATAATTCTGTAGTAATAGTGCATCCTCGGATTGTTGTGATCAGCCCAAACCGCACAAATCGGACGAAGTAACGCACCTTTTGGCCGCTTTGCATGCGCGTTCATGGAATGGGCGGGGTCGCTCTTGCGCTTATTACCTTTTGTAGCGAGCGGTGATATCGTATCATTCGACTCCTCCTTAGGTTCTTCTTTTGGTTCGCTTTTCGTTGATGACGCGCCCTTGAGTTCGCTGCTTGGTGTGAAGTGGTTCTTGCGCCACGCTGAATAGTTGTTGATGCAGAGCATCTCCAGCTTGAAGCCATCCTCATCGAGGCCGAGAAGGGGATGTTCCTTAAGCATATACTTGGACACAAGAGCCTTCGCGGATGAACTTATTCGGGTCCATGTCAGTGGCGCAATCTGTCGTTGAACGAGCTCAGCCCAAATACTGCGAGTGCTTGCACGGATGGCCTTGAGCGTCTTTGCTGTAACAGGGTCGCCATTCTACCAGTTCGTCCCATCTGCAGGAGTCAGTGAGAATCTGGGACCGTAAAACAGGAATACTCACTTCTCCAGGTGTATTTGAACCAGTGCTGGTAGAAGCGTCTGTCTAAAGGGCCTGTAAACCAAGCATAGCTGAAGAGTATATAAAAGACGTACCTCCTGGTGTGAACGCGCCCGTTTAGCGCGTCCTCGAACTCCATCTGCTACACCTGTACCAGATCTTACTAGAGCACGGTGAGCTTGCCGAGCACGCTTGGATTTCGGTATCTGGTCGACTTGGGAAGTGCTGCAGAGCATATGGTTAGTACCTTACAGGACTTCCGAGACTTGTACGTACCGTCACATCGCATTACATCGACAAGACATGCGTCGTATGACGACGTAACGAATGCACGCAGTGCGGTGCGCGTTATCGATGCAATCGCGCTGTACGAGTACTTCTTGTGTTACGACGACCATGTAATGTGTTACAGAAGTGTTACATGTAATATGAAATTGTTGCCAAGAATCCTATTTCGCCCGATTCCGACGGACGAATTCTGACCAAATCCGGCTGGAGCAGCTCCCATCCCACCCAATCCTACACAGTTTTCACTTGGCTTTACTACCCAACAACCCTCCGAGTGCAGAGTCGCAGCCGCCTTCCTCCTTGCCGATGCAGAAGGGAACGAGGACAGCACCTCCGAGCCCTTCACATTCTTGACTGGTGCAACCATCGCATCCGTATCTTTCGCTTGCACCCTCTACATCCTCGTATACGTCATCTCTGAACGTACTCGTCTCAGCACCTCATCCGCCCTGATCTTCACATCGTCGCGCGTCCCACTCAGTCCCTCTTGTCGAGTACGATTCATCGTTGCTCTTACCACCACCTTTCTCTCCTCGTTCACCGGCGTTCTCAGACAGTGGAGCAGACACACATAAGCTTCATCACCAGCGTCGCGCGTCTTCACCTGCGCGCTCAGAAAGCATCACCTCATTGGCCAGAATGCGGAGTAGAATGGGTGCGTTAGCTTGTCTAGAAGGTAGGGGAAGATTGGGAATGCGGGGCCGTGGGCGTGGAGATGGACGCTGAAAGAGTAACTTCATGAGTATGAGCGACGGCAAGGACGAAGAGGGTGACAGCGAGAGCAACAGACAGGATATAATTGTTACTCGCCCTCGGGGAGAGGAGATACGGCTCGCGCCGACCATTTGTGTTGAGGACATAGGCTTGATGGGGGACGTCGAGGATGAAGGAGCTGAGGAAGGGCAGAGCCCTTCCAATTCTTCGTGTCTCTTCGTGAGCAACAAAGTACGGCCTGGACCAGACGATAATCAGCGTATCCGGAAACGATTCTCGCCCTCACCTGCACGGTCTGTGCCGTTATTTTTATCCGGGACGACGCTCGTTGTTGGGCCTTCTGCGTCGGCAAGCAGTTCGTCCCTTCCCGCCATGTCGACCTCGGCGCCAGCTGCATCCTACCTTGTAGGCAATGTTGTCGGAGCTTCACCTGCCTCCACAGCCATGTCTCGCAGACGCAAACGATGGAGCACGCTTGAATCATGGTTTCCTCTGCGTAGTTTCATCGATCTGAAGGCCGATCCGGACGAGCGCATGTCTTCGTGGAAGTGGAGAAGTTTTATCGAGATTGGCGTTGCCTGATTGTAAATCCCTCTTGCGACGTGGTATGATCTTCCCCCCATGATGTTTCTTACTGTTCGTATTCTATCTAGCTATCCTATTCACTTTGCTTACCGGATACACGGGATGTATCCAAATTACCCTCATCCATTCCGTTGACTTTTGATTTCCTTAGACGCTTCTAATTGTGGTATCTTACGCATTATTCTGCCGAACATCTAGTTTCAGGCTCCAAAATTACATGCTAATCTCTCTTTTTCTTTCGCCGTTCACCACTCTTACATGTGATCTCTTGCAATCTCTAAAATGTCCAGTTCTATTTTCCTTACGATACACTCAATCATGACCACAGACACCCGAGCAGTATAGATCGAAGAATGTAATAGTAGTGTCGACTTGACAAACTATTTTTTGAATCAGAACGTGTGCTCGTGTCGGAAAAAGCCGCCACCTTGATATCGACCAACAGTCCGCAACTCCACGCCCTCTCCACGCGTCCATCTTCGTCTCGAACTATACGCTTATTACTCCTGCGACATTCCAAGAACTTCAACGTTTCATTATTCATGGCTCCTGAATGGTTCAAGGCATTGTGTTGTATTCGACAACCGCCGTCTCCGAGCGACGACCCAGTTGATCGTCAAGTTCCTGCTCCCATTGGAGCTGCTCAGCCCACAGCCAGTATAGATCCTGTTCTTGTGCTGACTGAAGTTCCTGTCGAAGGCTCTGGCTCTCCCTCGGCCAATATTGGGGACGTTTGTGCTGACAAGGTAGTCGAGAACACTCGCGCACGTTCTCTGGGCCCTAGGCCTAGCCCTAGAGACACGAACATTCCCATGCCTGCCTCTATTCAAGGTGGTTGCACTGCGTTCTTTATGTGGTTCCTAAGCATACTTAGTTACTTGACCAGGTTCTCCGTCAAACAGTACAGGTGCTCTCGCTCCTGCACTAATCGAGGCGCAACCCGCCGTTCCATGTTCTCCGGAAGAGAGTACGGACACTCCTGTTCCTGCACACACTGAAGAAGTAGCCGCGGGTGAGCGTTGTACTTGCTGCTCACTGCTCATAGGACAAGTCTGGGGACCTTGATCAGCAGCGTCAACCACTATATCCCCTATGATTAGCTTAGATCCAGCGAAAGTTAGAGAGCACATCGATCGCATCGATCGCTTTCGCATTCTGGTCATGGGCAGAGCCAATGCAGGTAAAACGACGATCCTGCAGAGGGTCTGTAATACTACGGATCAACCAGAAATTTTTAATGGGGAAGGAGAGAAGGTGTGTATGTTTCCTGGTATTTGCTCGAGATTAACGATGTGTCGGGCTTTATTCAGGTGGATGCTACCTTGGTGCAGGGTTCACTAAAGGTGAAGTGACTTCATGAATATTCTGCAATGTATGCTGAATGGTTGAATGTGTCCAGCGTGGTGAACACAACATTGAGGATGAGCTGGTTTTCAAGAGTAACCAACGCTTCGTATTCCATGACTCACGTGGATTCGAGGCCGGAAGTGAAAGGGAGTTTGACATGATGAAGGAATTCGTGATGGATCGCGCCAAGACAATGAAGCTGGACAAGAGAATCCATGCCATATGGTAGGAACACTGCATCTGACACCCTAAGCAAAGTGACATGGTTTCTGTGATGGATTTAGGTTTTGCATTCCTTTGAATGAAAGCCACAGGATGGTCACAGCTGCAGAAAAGAAGTTTTTTGATAAGTGTGATACAGGGCATGGTGTGTATATTGACCATACTCTCATTGATGGTTTTAAATTTCACTTTTTTTGTCACAGTTCCTGTAATTGTATTGCTAACAAAAACAGATACCTTGGCCTTGGATGCCTTCATGGAAGTTGATGATGGTTTGAATGAAGATGATGAAATGAAAAGGGCTCTGGAGGTAGAAAAAAGGAAGTTGAAGGAGTGTCTCATAAAGGTCGAGGGTTGGTTGAAGAAGTCAAGGTTTCCACCCTCTGACTATCTGTCACTCACTGGTGAGTATCCCAACCATCACTTGAGAATGGCACACCACTGACAGGAAATGACTGCAGGAATGCAAGAAGAGGGTGCTGATTGTACAACCCTACTGACACACACAGCAAATGCATTAAGTGAAGAAGGACTGCAGCAGCTCCTCATATCAACACAGCAATCTAATCTAGGACTGTGTATGGAGTTTGCAATAACAAAGTAGGTGAGACAGCAGAAGGATAAGAATGTACTGATATGTGCAAGGACACTGAAGAACTGCATGCATGGCATGGTGGGCAAGATTACACCAGCAGGTCTTGCATATTGCCTCTCAAGATGGTTTCCATATGTAAGAAGATAGTGAGTGGATTGGAGGAGGTACTGATTTTTCAACAGAAAGTGTGTAAAATTGTAAAAAAGAGGATATAACAAATACTAATGTGGCTGTGGCATTGGGTGGATAGTATGTGAGTGGATCAGGTGCTGGAGGTTCTGGAAGGATTCTGACCGTGTTCACTCCCACCCTTTTGGACTTGCATTCATAGGAAGTGAGTGGAGCCATGGCAGGTGGTGGAAGGATTCTGACCATGTTCACTCCCACCCTTTTGGACTTGCATTCATAGTTTGTGAGTGGAGCCATGGCAGGTGGTGGAAGGATTCTGACCATGTTCACTCCCACCCTTTTGGACTTGCATTCATAGGAAGTGAGTGGAGCCATGGCAGGTGGTGGAAGGATTCTGACCATGTTCACTCCCACCCTTTTGGACTTGCATTCATAGTTTGTGAGTGGAGCCATGGCAGGTGGTGGAAGGATTCTGACCATGTTCACTCCCACCCTTTTGGACTTGCATTCATAGTTTGTGAGTGGAGCCATGGCAGGTGGTGGAAGGATTCTGACCATGTTCACTCCCACCCTTTTGGACTTGCATTCATAGTTTGTGAGTGGAGCCATGGCAGGTGGTGGAAGGATTCTGACCATGTTCACTCCCACCCTTTTGGACTTGCATTCATAGTTTGTGAGTGGAGCCATGGCAGGTGGTGGAAGGATTCTGACCATGTTCACTCCCACCCTTTTGGACTTGCATTCATAGGAAGTGAGTGGAGCCATGGCAGGTGGTGGAAGGATTCTGACCATGTTCACTCCCACCCTTTTGGACTTGCATTCATAGTTTGTGAGTGGAGCCATGGCAGGTGGTGGAAGGATTCTGGCCATGTTCACTCCCACCCTTTTGGACTTGCATTCATAGTTGGTGAGTGGAGCCATGGCAGGTGGTGGAAGGATTCTGACCATGTTCACTCCCACCCTTTTGGACTTGCATTCATAGAGAGTGAGTGGAGCCATGGCAGGTGGTGGAAGGATTCTGACCATGTTCACTCCCACCCTTTTGGACTTGCATTCATAGGAAGTGAGTGGAGCCATGGCAGGTGGTGGAAGGATTCTGACCATGTTCACTCCCACCCTTTTGGACTTGCATTCATAGTTTGTGAGTGGAGCCATGGCAGGTGGTGGAAGGATTCTGACCATGTTCACTCCCACCCTTTTGGACTTGCATTCATAGAGAGTGAGTGGAGCCATGGCAGGTGGTGGAAGGATTCTGACCATGTTCACTCCCACCCTTTTGGACTTGCATTCATAGTTTGTGAGTGGAGCCATGGCAGGTGGTGGAAGGATTCTGACCATGTTCAATCCCACCCTTTTGGACTTGCATTCATAGAGAGTGAGTGGAGCCATGGCAGGTGGTGGAAGGATTCTGACCATGTTCACTCCCACCCTTTTGGACTTGCATTCATAGGAAGTGAGTGGAGCCATGGCAGGTGGTGGAAGGATTCTGACCATGTTCACTCCCACCCTTTTGGACTTGCATTCATAGGAAGTGAGTGGAGCCATGGCAGGTGGTGGAAGGATTCTGACCATGTTCACTCCCACCCTTTTGGACTTGCATTCATAGAGAGTGAGTGGAGCCATGGCAGGTGGTGGAAGGATTCTGACCATGTTCACTCCCACCCTTTTGGACTTGCATTCATAGTTTGTGAGTGGAGCCATGGCAGGTGGTGGAAGGATTCTGACCATGTTCAATCCCACCCTTTTGGACTTGCATTCATAGAGAGTGAGTGGAGCCATGGCAGGTGGTGGAAGGATTCTGACCATGTTCACTCCCACCCTTTTGGACTTGCATTCATAGAGAGTGAGTGGAGCCATGGCAGGTGGTGGAAGGATTCTGACCATGTTCACTCCCACCCTTTTGGACTTGCATTCATAGTTTGTGAGTGGAGCCATGGCAGGTGGTGGAAGGATTCTGACCATGTTCACTCCCACCCTTTTGGACTTGCATTCATAGGAAGTGAGTGGAGCCATGGCAGGTGGTGGAAGGATTCTGACCATGTTCACTCCCACCCTTTTGGACTTGCATTCATAGGAAGTGAGTGGAGCCATGGCAGGTGGTGGAAGGATTCTGACCATGTTCACTCCCACCCTTTTGGACTTGCATTCATAGAGAGTGAGTGGAGCCATGGCAGGTGGTGGAAGGATTCTGACCATGTTCACTCCCACCCTTTTGGACTTGCATTCATAGTTTGTGAGTGGAGCCATGGCAGGTGGTGGAAGGATTCTGACCATGTTCAATCCCACCCTTTTGGACTTGCATTCATAGAGAGTGAGTGGAGCCATGGCAGGTGGTGGAAGGATTCTGACCATGTTCACTCCCACCCTTTTGGACTTGCATTCATAGAGAGTGAGTGGAGCCATGGCAGGTGGTGGAAGGATTCTGACCATGTTCACTCCCACCCTTTTGGACTTGCATTCATAGGAAGTGAGTGGAGCCATGGCAGGTGGTGGAAGGATTCTGACCATGTTCACTCCCACCCTTTTGGACTTGCATTCATAGGAAGTGAGTGGAGCTGTGGCAGGTGGTAGAACCATTCTGACCATGGTCCCTGCTTTTTGAACATGTTGTCCATATTACAAAAATAGATGGTGAGCTCAATTGATATATCCAGTCCACATTCTTATTTTACATTATCTCAGGATGTAGGTCAATGTTTACATGGCATTCCAATTTGACCCTTATGTCTCTACTTGCATCTATCAGCATGTCAGTCATAATCTTTCAGGATTCTTTCCCATGCTAATATATGCTGTAGAATGTGTGCATTCATTTTTCTTTCAATCTGTATGATGATCACTGATAAAGTTTGTAGTTGGTTTGTGGCCCTGTTTCTCATTGATGTCACCTGACATGCTCCCATCACACATTGCTCAGGTGGTCTGTTTTATTTTCCTTCTTTCTGCCATCAACAGATCACCTGACTTGACAGCATTATAGCCTACTATCACTGATTACTCTTCTTTTGTCCACATGCCTACTTTGGCCATCTCACAAAAACCTTCACTGCAATATGTTGCAGCATATGGCATTGGTAATTGTTCTCTTGTCATCATTTGACACCCATAACACCCAATTGCAGGTGCTATACTTGTATTTGAATATTTGTACTTCTTGTTGCAGGCCAACAAAGTGAATGGTGATCTACAGGCAAACCTTGAACAGGCTGTCAGCACATATCAAACATCAGGTGTCCAAGCTACTGTTGCCTAAACTTATCACAGCAGCATTTCAGCATCATGGTGAAGATCTTGAAGTTTTAACCCCCATCCTTGTTGGTATTGCAAAGGAAAATCAGATGTGTCAGATACTATTTCCCTCAATGCCAATCAACCTCTTTCTTACCTCTATTTGGATTAGCAAAGATTGACATAGGAGGGGATATTTTTCAAGTGGTTACTGGGCCTGCTGTGAGTCCCTCCACTTTTCATTGGTGTGACATGCATATCAAAAATGAAGAGATTATTTTCAGGCCACCAATGCTGATCCTTTGGAATCCTTCACTGTGGGGGGAGCTTGCAAAATCTGCAGTTGTCTCTGCCCTTGTAATTGGATGTGCCACCAATCTTCATGTTGACAATCCCCACATTTGCCACATCAGTAAATATGGGGAAGATGCAATTGTTCTGTATAGATTGAATCAATATATATACTTGCCATGCCACTCAGCTATCCAGAGTCAAGCTTTACCTATGTTCTATGCCATTCTATTTTGTCTTTATGACTCATGTTGAAGTGCAATTCAAATCCTGCAGAAGTGACTCAGCAGCTATAATGAACATTTCTCATCTAACCATCCCTCTGCTGACCCAAGCCATTTTCTCTCCATTGTGACAACTGCCCTCTCACTTAATGCCCTACTTCCTAGTAAATTGGCAAACCACTGAGCAATGCATGCATATAATAACCTAAATAATCAGTTCCTGCCAGATGTTGGTCCTGCATGTGTTTCAAGTCTGGTTCATCTCCACTGGCAAGTCCTGTTGCAAGGCCAGTAGGGGAGGGGGCAGATGTGGGCAGGGGTTATAGGCTATGGACTGTCTCTACTTAGCAACTGTGAATACAGTACTATTCCCTCTGGCCTGGGGCTTGAGGCTGGGCTGAGCAAAACACTAGAAACAAGACATAGAACATGACAAGGACTAGGCCAGTTGATCAATTGGTTGGTGACTGGGTGAGTTTCCTCACAAACTATAACTTCTAGTCTTGGACCTGTGCTCACCCATAGCTGGACCACAAACTCAAACATAGCAAGAAACTATCATAGGAAATGGCATTAAAGTCCAACAACACCCTGCTGTCATTTCATACATGAATACAAAGGCTGTACAGCTTACAAGTGTCAATTGTCACAAAAGCTGCAGCTCATCCAACTTGCTAACCAGGCATTATATGAAAACTTGGAAATATGACAAGAAATCTCCTGTGGGGAATATAACAACAGGATGTGTTATGTTGTACTAATTTGATAGCTTTGTAGCTGGTGATTATGGCCCTGGGCAAAGAAGGAATGGCTGTCTTCCTTGGATGCATGGGTTTGGTTAGGGACAAAATAACTGCCTGCATCTCAGTGCCAAATGAGAGTACAATGTAAGGAAAGTCCAAGTAGCTGTATAATACAAGCTAGATGGCTTAGATAGCAACAATAAAATGAAGGGAATGAATTGCTCATCCCAAGGGATTCTGGACTGCTGAGACTAGAAGGTGGGACTCTGTGATTTGTAGTAGTAATGTTTCATGGCATGCATGGCATGTTCCATGGTGTTGTACTGGTGATGACAGTAGTGTGAGCACTATATGTAGTTCATGTGCAGCAGTTTGCAAGGTGTGCAGTGTAGACAAAGTGAAAAGAAAACTCATAGTGACCTTCCAACTGCCAAGAGGTATCATTCTGTACCTAGAGTAGGACAAGGTACAAGTAAAAGAAAGTTGCATGAGAGTGCATGCACACAGGACAGGCTACAATAGGGGCCAAGGGTATACTACTAGTATAAAGGGAACAGAGACTGTGGTAAAAGAAAAGAGTCCAAAGGAAAGGAAATGACCAGAACACAGCAGCTGCAGGTATTAGTGGTACATGAGAGGGAGTGAGGGCATGGGAAGGTAGCAAGGACGGCAGGAAGGTAGCACATGAGTGGGAGTGGATGTGAGTGGTCTGGGGACATAATGATAGTTGTGGAATGTCAATGATAGGGGGTTATGTGTCTAGGGAATGCAGATTCCTTACACCTGCAGGGGACTTAGATGCTGACCATCCCTGGTCAGCCATGTGGTGTGGAGGATGTAAACAATGATGCTGCATGGTAGTGGAGAAGGTGTGGTGCTGAGGGTTCAAGAACACCAGTGAATGCAGTGTAGAAGTGAAGGGAGTGTGTTGCCAAGGAAGCCAAGAACACTGTTGAATGCTGCATAGAAGCATCCAGACCAATGACATAAGTGCCTCATGGCCACTAAGTATATATTTGTTAGTGTGTGACTCAAACCTTCACATTGGTTTGATTCTTCCCCCCCCATCAACTGCTCTTACACTTGTACTATGTCTGCTAATCATCTCCCAAGGCTTTCCCAGCTCATTCACATGGCTACCCCTGACCTGGTTGAAGTGGAGAAGGCCATGCTGAGGGAGCAGTTTGTCACTGCTTCTACAGCTTTGGTCACTGAGGCTAGGTGCCTCCTGGATGACAAGGAGGAACTGTGGGAGGAAAAGGTGTTGTGGATGCACTGGTGGGAGAAGAGAACAGTAAGCACATGCCTCACTTCTGTGGGTCACATCATTGACCATGGCCAGGGTGAGGGCTATCCCATTGTTGAACATGGTCAGGCACTGGGGGTCAACATGAGGATCAATGCAGTGGATGGGCCAATCATGGCAGAGGCTGATGAGGCCTACAAGAGGTGGGCTACAGAGGAGGTTGCCATGGCAGTGCATGGAGGGGTTGACAAGGATGTGCAAATGGGAGGGGAGGCCATGCAGGAGGTTGGACCTGTACAAAAGGTAAGTGAGTTCCTCATACAGTGTGGCAGAGGCTAACACTTGGGCCCTTAGTGGTCTTGGCAGATGGTCATGGAGAGCAAGGATGAGGCTGAGACACCCAAGGTCATGGTTCTGCTGGGGTCCATCCATCACAAGGAGCCTTGCATGAGGTGTGTGGTAAAGAAGACCCCATGTATCAGACCTGCAGGGCAGACATGCCACAGATGCACATGCATCAAGCAGGGCTGTGAGAAATCCACAACAGCTGGAAGGAAGGCAAAGGTGGGTGCTTTGGTTGGTAAGTACTACAGTTGTCTCAGCAGGTCTGGGGCCAACAGCTTGTAGTGCAGACCTTGAGGGCTCCCAAGGCTGGCTCATCCAAGAAGGTGGCCAATGATGATGACAATGACAATGTTGAAGTGGTTGAAAGCCACTCACACATAAAGGGAAAGGCCCCAGTGCATGGTGGGCTCAACAGCAAGGTCACAGCAGACCTGTTGCAGGCTGAGGCTGCAGAGTCACAGGACATATACCTGTGCCTTCAAGTTCACATTGACCAGCTTGCAGAGGTGCTGGAGAAAATAGGGGTTGAATAAGAGTGATTGTCCTCAGTTTAGATTCACTATGTTGTCCTATCTGCATCTCAGAGTGCAGAGCATGCAATATACTGATTTTCTCCCTTGTGTATGAGGTTGTGATGTGAAATGACATGGAGTGCTTGACTACTCTCTGTGGGAAACTGAGCTTGGTTTGGCCATGGTAATGTAGAGTGTGTGGGGTACCACCATGCATGTTTGAAGAAGAATGTACAGGGTAGTTGTGAGTATCTGTGGTATACAGTGGCCAAGGATGGCATCAGTGAGACTAGTAAGTGAAGTAACAAGAGAGATGGTGTTTTAGTTATATACTTATTGGGTGTTTTGTTATTTTTCTTGATGGTTTTGGACTTTTTGTTAGTGGTTCTTATGTTGTTTGAGTGAGGACTAGCTATCAGTAGAATCACCAGATGAAACCTGGGGTGAAACAGAGGTCTCTGGACAAAACCTGGGGTAAAACAGATGAGGAGAAACAAACTGTGTTTGGTATTGGATTGAGTGAGTGGTATGTGGGTCTCCCCTGCAGGGGACTTCAAATGCTGACTGTCCCCAGTCAGTGCAGAAGGTGTAGTGACAGTAGCAGTGGAAGTGGCAGGGGGGTGGAGGTTGTTGCTGCTGCAGAATGGGGTATCATGGGGTAGAGGAACAGAGACAGGTAGGAATGGCAGAAGGTGTGTTTGGATTGTGTACATATTCCACCAGTCATCACCATCCTTGAGCCCCTATTCTACAAGGCATACAGTGGCTCATAAAATTGTCCCAATGTTTGCATGTTTTTCATTAATCATGGTGTAGGCAGTGAACTACCATTATCCAGTCCAAGGTGTTGGTGGATGGATCCAAGCAGCTGGTTATGGCTCTCTAATGAGCCATATTACATAATATTTGGATGAAAACTGGTGACTGAATACCCAAATGAAAATGACAGCTCATTGGGACAATTTTGGAACTTTATGGCATACTAGGGATGCAGTCCATGGGAACACATATAAAATGATATAAGATGCTCACCAATGCTTACATAATTTATCACATGGTCTACTGAATGATCTGTCAACAAACAAATAATGCCAAACAGTGATTTTGCACCACTAAGCCTTCTTACTGTAGCACAGCTCAAGAAATCACCATTCTGGCTCATCAGGGACATTCTCTCAGGGCAACCTCAGCAAATACTGGTGTATGCTATAGTATAAACAATAGAATATGCTATCAGTACCATTGGTCTCTTCAGAAATCTGCTGGCAGTCATGTTCTGCACTATTTCCCCAACAATGCTCCATGTGTCCTGGAACTAATCAGTACTGTGAGAGCTGAGAATGATGTTGAGGTCCAATCTGGCATTCATGCTATCATAAACAAACCAATCAACCATTAACTAGTGCATTTCTGTAAAGGGGGAACTGGTATGGAAGTCAGGGTGAAGCTAAACCTGTCATAGTCATGCCTTGACCCCAGTTGGACTTGGACTCACACTCATTCAGTCTGGCCTTGGCCTCACCAGTCCCTTACCCCAGATGTCCTAGCACAGTGAACACTGCTTTGCAGTGTGTGTCACTTTGGTTAAGTTCTGCTTGGCCTTGTCCCTGGTCCACCCTGTCCCAGTCTCTGTTACCTTAGTCATACCCTACTAATATTTGTCTTACCAATCACCTTAGCAATCTTTGCAAGACTGGCATTACCAGTCTCCATACTATAGTTGTCTCTGGTATATAAACTCATAGATACCTGGCCTGTACTCTTCAGTCTGGAATCAACAAAGTTACTCTGATAATCCTGCCTCAGCCTCGGACTCAGACTGAGACCCACACAAGGGAATAGCACTGTAATCTCAGTCACTAAGTCCAATCAGTCCACCCCCCTGTATCTTTGACCCTCCTCCTGATCCCAACCCCTTGGCCTCATGCCCTCTTTGGTCTCTGGTCCAGCATCAACCCAGACAACCCAAACTTGACAGTATTTCAGACTCACCACTTGTGTGGGTCTAGCACAACCTCCCCATGGTTGCTCTGCCACCAACCCTGACTCCACCTCAGTCAGTGGAACCCATCACAAGACAGCACTAGCCACCTTAGGGACCACTAGGCATTCTCCAGATCCTGTTAGTCCTTTCAGGGGCTTTTCCACCCAAACATCCAATACTCCCACCCCATGTCACCCCACTGCTCCTATCCCTGAGAATGACCCCAGTGATGATGGGCTGGGTGACGATGATAATAACAACCCTGATGATGATGACCCTGGCAACAGCTCTGGTGATAATGGGCCCAGTGATGATAATCTGGATGGGAATGATCCAGAGGACAAACTGGACTTCCCAGACCCAGACACTGAACCCACATTTGTGGTCTTTGACAGCCTTGCAAAGGCCATCAAGCTACTGGCCTGCAACACTTGCACTAGTCCTGAGTCCTTGAGCAGGACCAAGTTGTGTGAGCCCAATACCTTCAATAGTACCAACCCCAAGAAGCTTTGTGCATTCTTTATCCAGTGTGAGCTTAATTTCCAAGACCGACCCTGGGCTTTCAGGACTGACCATGCCAAAGTCATCTTTGCGCAGTCTTACCTCATGGGCATGGCTCTTGAGTGGTTCGAGCTGGACTTGCTTGGACTTGACAACCCTGATGACCAACCTCTCTGGATGGACTCCTGGAGGGAGTTCATCCTAGAGTCACAAACTACCTTCAGCCCCCACGACCCACTCACTGACACTGAGAGCCAGCTCAACCACTCACACATGAAAGATAACCAGCACATCAACAGGTATGTAGTTGACTTTGATCAGCTTGCCTCACAAGTCTGAGGCTATGGTGATGGTGTGCTGCACCACCACTTCTACTCTGGACTCCCAGACCAGATCAAGGATGAAGTCTGTTGGGTTGGCAAACCATGGACACTACATGAGCTATGCCATCTTGCCCAGGAAATAAATGCATGCTATTGGGAGTGCAAAGAAGAAGTCCAACAGGCAAGTAAGCATCAAGGCTTGCCCACCTGCAGCAACAATAAGTCTGGAGGCTCCAGCAACAGTAATCAAGCCAAGACCAGTCAAGAGAAAGCCAAGACCAGCAACAATAACAACTCCAGACCTTCCCCCAAGTTGGCTTCATCAAGGCTGGGCAACAATAATAACAGCAACTTGTCCAAGCCCAAGCCTAGCAAACTCAGGAATGATGGGAAGCTCACCCCAGAAGAACACAAGTGTCACATCAAGGGCAGCCTCTGCATGTTCTGCAGAGGCCCTGGCCACTTCGCTGAGAAGTGCCCCAAGAAAGCCAGAAGATCCAAGGCTCACACTGCAGCCACCACTGAGGCCACACTGGCCTCAGGCTTGGGTTCTACCCCCAAGACAAAAAAATAGGTAGCAGCTCCCAGGACTCTGCACAATCCAGGAGCTGTGTTGACTCCAGTTGTGCAAACTTGGAGGCTGGACTCAACACATCTGCTCTTTCCAGCCCAAATTCATTAACCCCCTATGTCACATTAGAAGGTCATGATTTACCTCGGCTTCATACTTTAGTGGACTCCAGCTCCACTCATTGTTTTATAGATAATCAATTTACTAATCAACACTCTTTTATCCTATACTCAGTCTCACCAATCTGACTCCAGCTCTTTGATGGAATGTCCACCTTTACTATAACCCAAGCAGTAGATGTCAATATCTGTTTTGCATCTGGCGATGTCACCCTGGTAACCCTGTTCTTAGCCCCATTGGATTCTGAGTGTAGGATAGTTCTTGGACATGACTGGCTCACCTGCTACAATCCATTGATTGATTGGGTATTGGGCAGTCTAACATTCCAGACTCCTGCACAAGGAATTCCAACCCCGTTGACACCCCCTGTAAGCCCAGTCTCCACTGGCCTCCCCAACTCCAGTCCTAGTGACCAACCTGGCCTTGTGCCATCTGTACCAGCCTCTGACTCCCTGGCTCACACCCCCCTGAAGGCCCCCCTCATTTCCCTAATCAATGCAGCTGCCTTTGTGTGCACCTGCAAACTTGAAGGGTCTGTCCAGTTCCAACTTCAGCTCCACCCCTTGGACTCAGCTCAAGCCCAATTGGCCTTGGCTTCCTCTCCTCTGGCCTTACCCAATGTACCAGAAGAGTACCATGATTTTGCTGATGTCTTCAGTAAAACCAAGGCCTTGGCACTCCTGCCTTGCCAGGAGTATGACCTGAAGATAGAGCTCAAGGAAGGAACAACCCTGCCATTAGGCACCATCTACTCACTGTCCCCAGTCAAGCTCCAAGCTCTCCAGGCCTTCATTGATGAAAACCTCACCACCAGTTTCATTTGACCTACCTCCTCCCCCTATGCTGCACCAGTTCTCTTTGTTAAGAAGAAGGATGGCTCCCTCTGGCTCTGCATAGACTTCCACAGCCTGAACAAAATCACTAAGAAAGACTGATACCCACTACCACTCATCTCTGACCTCTTAGACTCACCAAGCTGAGCCAAGATCTATACCAAGATTGATCTCCAGAATGCCTACCATCTCATCCAGATTGCCCCAGGAGATGAATTGAAGACCACATTCTGGACTTGGTATGGTTCCTACAAGTGGTTAGTGATGCCCTTCAGCCTCACTAATGCCCTGACTACTTTCCAATGCTTCATGAATACCATCTTTGCAGACATGTTGGATGTCTGCATAGTTGTCTACCTAGATGACACCCTAATCTACTCTGGAGATAAGGAGTCCCATAAGCAGCATGTCTGAGAGGTACTCCACCAGCTTCAGCTTCACAGCCTTTATGTGAAGCCAGAGAAATGTGAGTTCCACTCAGATTCAGTCGAATATCTTGGCTTCCACCTCTCCCCTGCCAGCCTCACAATGTCCAAGGAAAAGGTCCAGACCATCTGTGACTGGCCTGAGCCTCACAAGGTCAAGGACATACAATCTTTCCTTGGCTTTGCCAACTTTTACCACCGCTTTATATTCAACTACTCAGACATTGTTGTACCACTGACTTGGCTTACCCACAAGGGTGCTCC